ATTGCAATTATGGGTTCAAACTTTTAAAAAGGTGCAAATTAGTCACAAATATGAAAAAATTATCACCCCTAACCCGCCACCTTTGAGGGCAAAATCCCCAACCTCCGATCACCTTGGCCGCCAGACCAACATACCACCTTGAAGCCCTCATTACCCTCTTCACAACCCACCCAACCACCAGCCCCAACTCTGGCAGATTTGACCGGAATCGAGCTTCAAACTTCGCTGCATGAAATGCGGTCAAATGTCGGAATCACGCCGTCTGGCCACCTTCTTGGCCGAAACATATCATCGGCCAAGTCCCCTACTCTGGACGACCTCGACCATGCAAACAATTTAGTCCAAACAACAAGGATAAGATTTGAATTTCAAATTGAAAGCTGCCCGTCGCGATTGTCGTGACACCGCACCAGTTTTCCTCCAATTCAGGCTCAACTGTGACGACCCATGGTGGCGGAACACCTGGGCTGGGTGCGCCATCATCTGGCGCACCTAGCCCAGCCATGGTCTCCTTCAATTTGACTCGAATCATCTTCAATCTGGGTCTGAAATGTTCACTTGTGTGAACTAGCGACTGGACTGTATTTGCTTTGAAATTGGTGGTTGTTGGTTGCTTGTTGGAGGAAATTGTTTACATAGGTAGCTTCGACTTGATGAGAGGAGTCGACCAATGGTGAATTTCGGCCGGTTGGGTGGCCGGATACTAGTTGTGGGTGTTTGACCGATTTTCAGGCTGCAATTTTTTAATTTGATTTCCAGCCAAATTACAATAAGTTATGGGGATTTCTTGGTATGTAGTTGTAGAGGGTAATGAGAAGAACATGTTGGGACCAANGGATGACGAGTTGTGAGTGTTTGACCGATTTTCAGGCTGCAATTTTTTAATTTGATTTCCAGCCAAATTACAATAAGCCATGGGGATTTCTTGGTAGGTAGTTGTAGAGGGTAATGAGGAGAACATGTTGGTACCAATATTCGACGGTTTGGACGGTCGGAAGTCGTCAAAAATGAGCTCATGTATTCGGCTGAAAACGAGCAAGAGAGATTTTTTTTGTTCTTTTTAATATTTTTATATGTTTTGGATCGATTTGCATTTTTTAGAAAGTTAAAGAGTAAGATTGCAATTTATTCTTGATTTTTCTTTTCTTTTATTTTTTGTTTTATTTATATAGGAGGGTATATTAGTCATTATGATGCCAATATAACTAATTGCCTTATAAAAAATACTTATAGGTTAAAAATTGACTTATAAAATAAATTTATTTGTAAATGAATAAATAAGTTTAAAATAAATGACGTTTTGCTAAATCTAAAAGTAAGCAAGTTACTTATTTTGACAGTGAAGCTTATTTTAAGAGAGAAGAATCGAGATGGATTGCATGACCCGGTTTGTGATACATTTTAGAAGCCAACTTCTGATTCTCAAACAGTCAGAAGTTAATTTAGATGTATTTTAAATAAATCGATAAAAAAAATATTGTATCATTCTACAACAGATTTTGAGAAGCAATAGAATGGTAGCTTTTCGAATTATGTTCTAGTTTCCCCAATTGTAATTAAAATATAAAGTTTTAATCCTAATTAGCCTCTGTTTGACAATTATTAAAAAGATTTTTTGGGGGTAAATGAGTTTCGAAAAGATAATTTTTTGAAGAATGTGTGGTTAAAAAATAAGAAAAACCTTTGAATTTGTATATAAAATATTTTGTTGTGTGAATGTATTGTTCAAAATGGGTTTGAGAAAAAAAGAATTTTATAAAAATGGTCGTGAAACATGAGCTTAGTTAAACTACTCATTTTTTTTTATCCAATATTGATAATACAAAAATAAAATGAGAAACCAAGTTGTTGTTTTTTGTTTTTTGGGACCAAACATTTTGGTATGTTAATGTATTTTGTCCAATGTTTTAAAAAGCGTAAAGCGTGGTTAAACGTGGAGGGAAAACTTCAAGTTTTACGAACCTAAACGAGTTTTAGACTTAAAAAAATATTTTCTTATTTTTAATCATTTTAAAAATCATTTAATGATTAAAATAATACATATCAAACATTTAAAATTATAAAATACTACATTTACTTAATAATTTTATCATTAGTCAATTATACAATTTTCAAGTTTTCAAAATGCAAAAATTGGAATATTTTTCTTAATTTTAATTTTTAACTAAATAAATCGTACTTAATAGATTTATAGGAATTTCATACATGTTTTTTGAGTTTGCAACAAAATAACGAGTTACATAATGTAAATATCATCATAGTTTAAATCTTATTTAACTATTTAAATAAAATCATTTTTAACTTTTGTATAGATAATCTTTTAAAAACTTGAAAATCAAATAAAAAGTTTTTTTAAAAATAAAAAATTAATAAGCTAAAATAAAATAAAACACTTAAAAAAAAAAAAACTAATAAAGCATTGTTACCAAACAGGCTCTAGATAATCTTTTAAAAACTTGAAAATCAAATAAAAAGTTTTTTTAAAAATAAAAAATTAATAAGCTAAAATAAAATAAAACACTTAAAAAAAAAAAAAAACTAATAAAGCGCTCATACAAAAGACGAAAGAGATGAAGAAAAAAATTCAGCCAGTTAGGAATTGAAAAAAAAAAAATACGTTTTGCCCGATAGGACTTTACTATTTGTACATTGGTTTTTTACACTTTGATTGACACTTGCATTGTTGTCAAGTGTCAATTGGATTAAAAAACTGTTTAATTGGCTAATGTCACGTGATAAAGTGTAAACCAAAGTGTACACTAAAGTTTGGTTTACACTAAAGTGCACATGGAGCAATGTTCATTCCAATAATGTTTAGCAACCTAATTGTTTTTATTAAGCCCATGTTTGGTTTGGATTAAAATTCAATGAAAATCTAAGTCAATGCATTTTATGGGATTCACAATTTTTTAACCACACATTTCATCAACGTTTATCAAAATCTATTAAAAATTTTGATTTTAATCCCTACCAAAAAAATCTTGGTGAATTACTCAACATTTGAACATTCCTTAAATATGTTGCTTTCATCTTTGTTTTCTGAATTTGTAATCTAAGAGTGCATTTGAGCCCTATTTTTTGAAGAATGCATTTTAAAATGGTAGATTGATGGAGAATTTATGGTTAAATTTAAATTTACGTGTAATTCAAGTTTTATTGAAAAATGTAGAATAAAAAAGGAGCAGGCAAATATATATTTTAGAAATAACAATCGTCAACGGGGGGCTAAGGAACATGGACAGTGCTAGATGCACCAACTTCCATTGTGAAAATTCAAAATTGTGACGGGTCACATGCTTCTCCCTTTGCCGCCGGGCTTTTCACGGCGGTGTTGGCGGCCAAACGTGGAGGTGGTGGCCTTTCCAACACTCCTTTTTCCAGTTGAAATCCCCCCACCCCACAGAGTTTCTATATTTTATAAACCCAAACAAGAAAAAGAAGATCAGAAATGGAAGTCCAACGCTCTCTTTTTTTCCGCTATATTTATTACAAGAAGGTGAATTTCGCCCAACTCTTTAGATTCTATGTTTAAATTACCATTACATGTAAACTGCATTTAATCAATTTAGTCATTGTTTCAATTTTTCAGGCAATGCAAAGTGGACTATTGCTAGTTTGGTTTTCTGGGTTTTTCTTGATAGGCGTTTCCTTATACTCCACTCAAATGCTGCTGCCTTCTTTCAAAAATCAGATCAAGAAACCAATCCTTTTTAGAAATGATTTTATCGATTCAAGTAATCCCACAATCATCATATTTACTGCACCAAGGCCTTTTGTTGGTTTAGTTGGGGAAAGGCAGGTTCTTGCTATTCAATCGTGGCTCGGTTTATCGGAGAATGTTAATGTTGTTCTCTTTAGCCAGGATTCCTCCGCTTTCTCTTTTGCAGATGAATTTGGTTCTCGAGTCTCAGTTGAGCCTAATATTGATTTCACGTAAGGGTTAACGATATTTTTCTTCGATAATTGTTAATGATGTGCCTGTTCTTTTAGAGGAATTTAGTGTTGATTAATGTAAGTCTAAGGTGCATAACCACTGTAGAAGCTGCTAAAGTATGTTTTATATGGCCGAGTTAAAAAGGATGTTTGTAATTAAGTAGCTAAGCAAGAATGAGTTTTTTCGATTTGATTTATCTAATTGCAGTTCCAAAGATATAATCTAGGCCAGTGGCCACCTAATAAATGGATAAGGCTTTTGTGTGGATGAATTTTTTATTTTCCTATTATGGTAAGCAATTTTGTAGTGTTTTTCAATTAGCTTGGAAATATCTCAATTTACTATAAAACTTGTCCACTGTTTGAAATTCTGTCCAGGTTTCTTGGTACCCCGTTTTTTCATACGATGGTTGCAAGGTCTCTGGCATCATCATCAGATGTTTCTGCGTTAATTGATCCTGAAACAATTCTTTTACCAGACTTCATTTCCACTCTTGAATATGCTTACAAGCTTGATCAAGAGTGGCTTCTTGTTGCTTCATCACAAACTGTTTCCCATTTTCCTTTCCATTTAGACGCAAATGAGAAACAGTGGATAGCCGATGATGGTAAGCATACTGGAATTTATAAGGTATGAAGGAATTAGGTTTGGATCAAGACTGGATGAGGCTTGAGAAATTGAATTTTAACATTGTGCTCTTTGATCAGCTGCAGGAGTTTCTTGCTCAGAAATCTCACCGTAAACCATGTGGAGATAGAATGCTTATGGCATGGAACAATGGAGAACTTCCTCTTCACTATGGCGTCTTACCTCCATTCCTGTATGGAAAGGGACTCCACAACCATTGGATTCTCACTGAAGCCCTGTCGTCCGACTTTAGGCTTGTACTTGATGCAAGTTGGACCATTTCGAATTTCTACATTAATGATCTTGACCAAGAGAATAATCAGTTGATTGAAGGTTTTAATATTTCCGATTTTGATAAGAAAAGTTGGGAGATTATGGGCAATTCCCATCTCGGAGGGCTGTACGGGTCAATTTCGCTGCGTGAAGAAAATTATTCTAATCTGTTTAGATTTCTCGAATGTCGTGGGAACTATATTTTTGTAAATACCATAAAAAACATTGTTTATCCGTTGGGATGCAAGAGATCACTGGGCTTAAGGAAAAAGGGCATCTCCTTATCGTCGATAGAGGAGAAAATTCTGGATTGTATTAACGTTGTTAAATCACTTGACGGAATAAAGGGATGCTCTGTGAAAGATCAGTTAGAGCTGTTAACATCAATTTCACTTCCACTCTCCTTAGAATCTCTACTGTCAATTCGTGCTAATCAGAATAAGACCATTGTTCTAGCTATTGCTGGATACAGTTACAAGGATATGCTAATGAGCTGGGTGTGCAGGCTACGCCACCTGCGGCTCGAAAATTTTTTGGTCGGTGCTCTTGACCATGAAATTTATGGTTTTGCAGTTTTGCAGGTAACTTGCATTTCACAATTTAATTCTGAAGATTGGTTGATGGCAGCACAAGCTTATTAACAAACCCAATACAGTAATCTATTTTTTTAACACATTCGTAGACATTCATTCATGACACCCTTAACTTGTATTTGGTATGCAGTAATAGACATGACTCAACAGTATTTGAACAAGACTTTAACTTCTTTCTATTTCTTGATCCTATCCAAGGCTTTGCAATCCTCCCTACCCAGTGTGCACGTAACTTTGTTCATGAGCATCAAGGTTTCATGTACACGTAATAGTAATGCTTTTCTATCTATGTGATGCTAGGGTCTTCCTGTTTTCAAGTATGCAAATCCTCTAACAAACATCAGCTTTGATAACTGCCATTTCGGAACGGAGTGCTTCCAGAAAGTAACTAAAGTCAAGTCTAGAGTAGTTCTGCAGATATTAAAGCTTGGATACAATGTGCTCTTGAGCGATGCTGATGTGTATTGGTTTAAGAATCCATTGCCCTTTCTTAGTTCTTTTGGTCCTGCAGTTCTCGTAACACAATCAGATGAATACAACATAACAGGTACTCATTCCAAGTATCCAACTTCAGAGACCTATTTTTCTAATGGCAGTAATACACCTGAAGAAAATAAAATGGGAAGGACTGAAAATTAATAGATTTGCTAATAGTACGTTCTGCACTGATTCAATTATTTCTATTCTAATCTTAGATTCAGTTTCCGTCTTCAAAATGCTTTTATAAATAGTATGCTGATTTTTATTTCTTATCTGTTCAATCTTTTGATCTCTTGCCCACAGGACCCATAAACTTACCTCGGCGACTTAACTCTGGCTTCTATTATGCTCATTCAGATGGTATAACCGTTGCAGCATTGGAAAAAGTAGTGAGGCATGCAGTTAATTCCAATCTGTCAGAACAGCCAAGCTTCTATGACACATTATGTGGGGAAGGTGGGTCTCACCGTTTAGGCGATAACAGATGCTTGGAGCCCGAAACAAATTTGACGGTATATTTCTTGAACAGAGACCTGTTTCCAAATGGTGCATACCAAGGTCTGTGGGAGGAAAGAAACGTGAAAGAAGCCTGTACGAACAAGGGCTGTTTTATTCTCCATAACAACTGGATTAGTGGAAGGAGGAAGAAGATGGAACGACAGGTGTTGTCAGGGCTATGGGAATACGATATTAGCACTAGAATGTGTCTTCAAAGCTGGCCTAGGAATAAGTTCACAAGTTATTTTTAAAACGAGATATATTATTTTCTATGTTTGATCATGGGTAGCTTTGTTTTTCACGTTATGGAGGAGAAATCGAAGAATTATTTTTTGTCAGATATACTTTTATCTACAAAGCTTTGGATTTATCACTGGTTATATTTGAGATGGTGCTAAAACAGCTGGCCAAAAAGGGCAAAATTTGGTTAGTATGTTTTATATTCTTCATCCACGCCAGTTCACAACTCTTTCTGCGTTGGACCATTATGCTTACAACTGTATTAAGATATTCTGGTTGCCGGCAATGCTGAAGAGATGTGTTCCTGTTTTAGGTCTCATTCGGTGTTTGTCAGTGAATCCAGGAGAAAAAAAGAGTTGAAAGAGGAAACAATCTCATTCAGCGCAGGTTCACATCTAAAGAATACTACTGTAAAGATAGTTCATGCTGGTGGGAGAATTGAGCTCTATCAACATCCATTTCCTGCATCTGAATTAATTCAGAGATATCCTGGGATGTGTATGGATGTGTATAGCACAGCCTGATATCTTCAAGCGCCCACATGAATCTGTTTTATCTGCTGAAGATATGTTGTTGCCGGGCAATAAATACATTATCATCCGGTCTACTACTGTAGAGAAATTGAAACGCACACACACAAGGAAAGGGAATGTAAATCAACAAGCTGATAATGATGAGCCTATCTTAGATTTTAAAGAAATTAAAGATGTTGGAGATAATTATTCAGAAGAATCTTTTTGTTCTGCTGAAGACTTCTATATCTCTAAAGACAGTTGGTCAAATCATTTTATGAAAAAACGCGTGAAAGAAAAGAAGCCATTTGCATCCCCAATCCAGAGGCCAAGAATGTGGAAGGAATCCGATTGGGAGCCGAGTCTAACTTCAATACAGGAGCTATCACCATGACTATCCCTGTTCTGGCTTCTTGATGCACTTTTACTAGTAGTCTACTACCATTATCTGGTATGTAGATTTCTCTGTGCTCTTTAATAGGTGTTCATTAGATCTTTGAGAAAGAGATTGTCAAGATCGTTATACACTCTAGTTATGTCCTTTGCATAGCCTTCAAAAGTCTATTAGAAGATCCTAGACGTGTTGCCTGTCATATATACTAAAATTTCTTTTTAAACTGCACATATTTTCATAATAATTATCTGCTCTAAAACATGGATTCTAAATCAATTTCACGGTCCTATGAGCCTATGTTGGAATAAGTGAACGCAAGAGGGATTTAAGAGCAGAATTGTATTCTGGATCCATTATTCTATGCAAGGAAATGAGAATAGTTCATTTCTAGTCACATTATGTTTCTTTTGGGGGATCTTTCTGTTCTTCTCAATGCAAAAGAATTTATCGAATCTTAGTCATGTATTTAAAGCAGCCAATGGCATAGATGGATTGCTTCTCTGTTTCCTATCTGTGATTTTAAGATGAACTAATTAAATGATGAATGAGATGGTGAAATTACCCAAGAAAAAATTAGAAAAAGTTGGAATGCTGTTAAGAAATATGGCGTACAATGAAGTTGAAGCAGATAAATGAACCTAGGCATCCTTGTTTACAATCTAATAATCTACTTACAATTTAAGACAATACTGGGATTTGAGTTTAAATTAATAAAATTAGACTTCCATCTGAGGTACTATAACCAGATTTGGAAATATTGGGACAAATAAGTCACTGTTGTTGAAAAAATATTGCCAATCTAATAAAAAACCATGAATTTTGGATATGATCTTCTAATGTACACTCAGAAAATGAATGATAAAAGCTTAGTCAAGATCCATGTCAGCTGGAATTGTCTCAACCCAAGAAGTGACAATCTCCCTCACTGTTTCTGCTCTTACACTGTTAAGTTGTCTAGCAAACCCAACCCCCATCACGGCTCCAACTATAGAGTATGGATGGCCGAGATGGGAAGTCCTAGCTTTGATGCAACCAGCACAACAGAAGCAGCCGAAAACTCTGCTGCAAATCCTCTGGTTGGTGTCAAAGTCCGACACCGCCAGGTTGTTTTTAAAAGTTGAAGACATTTTCTGAGTGTCAAAATGTTGGTGATTGTGTATTTAACTTAACAAATAAAAGGCCGTGCCTTTTGGCGTCTATGCTTGCATTAGTCAAGCCTTTTGGCGTCTAGATTCATTCACGAATTTTGCCACCTAAGCTTGCATTATAGGCTGTCAAAATACAATAAAGCTACTCAAACAGGGAAACCAGACAGGGTTTAAAAACAGACACACGTGGCGGCTCCGGACTCGTGGCTTGTTGTGTTAAAATTTCCCATCCCCCAATGTTTTGTTGCCAAGTGTATCTGGATGCAAATCCCTGTTTTTTGGCCATGTTGCTCTAGCATTGTTCGTCAAAATATAGTTGATAACTTTTTTGCACCTTTTTCAATATGCAGGAATGGCTTCTTCACACTATTTCCATATATGCTGAGTGTCTTCTTCGTGCCTCATGTCTAAGCCCCAATAAAGTCGTAGTTGAGATCTTTCCTCAAAATGTGTCTCAAATCCGAAAAGTCTAATTACCCCCAATAAATTCTGCGAGTTTGATCACCGAGGCCCTTTTTTTTAATTAGGTAAATAAATTTGTATTAATCAAAATTGTGAGTACAACTACTCCGAACACACTCGTACATTTAAAGTAAAACATTGCAATGATCCAATGATCTAGTAATCCAAACCAAGTGACGGAATATGAATCAAAACATTACAAACTTGGCTAATCTAGAACGCGAAGTATCAAACTATTGACGACAATAAATCCTTTTAGAACACTATCAGCTATAGCTCAGCTATCCAACGTTATGAAAATAAATAAAAAATTATATATAAATATATTATATAGTATAGGCAGATAGAAATAAAAAGTGTTCTAAAAGGCGTAATGCATGGTGATAAATGAATGTCAAACTATGAGCTAGACGAGCTTAGGCAAGGTATATGCGTAAAATGCGTTTTCTTATTTTAATATTATTTTAATTTTTAATCAATCAAAAAATTATTTAATAATTAAAAATAATATCTGCCAAATATTTAAAACAGATTTATAGAAATTTTATACAATTTTGAGGAGTTTTCCTTTGTTCAAGGCTTCAAGCAGCTGCTTTGAATATAAGGTAGATGAAGTGAATAAATCAGCCTTTAAGTTTTAATTTAAAGGAATTGAAAAAAATTGCTTAAAAAAAGATAATAATGCACGCCTATGCACGTATTAGCGTTGTCGTTGACCACAAAATAAGACTTGGCGTTTCCATCGCGCATCGCACCTAAGCGGCGGTTCATTTAGAACACTGGAAATAAGTATTTATTTTTACATTTTCTATATGGATTAATAGCAGAAAACCCCCTGAAAACCTTTTTATTTGCGATATTCCCACGTACCAATTGAAAATCGCAGAAAACCCCCATATTTAAAACCTTTTTTGTGAAATACTGCCTACCGTTAAAATCCGTCAGATTTGTTGTTAAAAACAATAAAAAATGTGGAAAAAAATTTCAATTGCAGTATCGAAACTTTTATTTTTTTGCAAATTATACCTAATTTTTTTAGGGATAATTGCAACAAAAGCCTTAACCTTTCAATAACATTAAATAATTACATTAAAAACAAAAAAATAAAAATCATCTTCTTCTTCACCAAACTCTTCACATATCCCTACCCCAGAGTCAAAATCATAGACACCACCACACACCGTCCGGCATCACCACCACCACCCCCCTCAAACCGTTTCATAGCTATTACCTTGACACCAAATAAGAGTTCGACCAAGTGCTTTAATTCTGTCGTTTCTCTTGCACCTTTGTACTTTATCATGTCTACCAATTCTATTGGGGATATGCTAGATGTACACACAATACTTTACCAAATGGATTACACCCCCCCTCAAATGGAGGGGGCCCACAATATTTTATTGTGTGTGGGCTCCCCTCCATGTGAGGGGGGTGTAATCTATTTGGTAAAGCATTGTCTATATTTAGACTAATTCATTCTATTATTTCAACTGTACCCTGCTCTTCAACTTCCCCTCATTTTCTTTTTCCAATTCTTTATTCGAAGGCAATCTAAGCGTGCTCAAATCCCCATTATACCAAAAAAAATTCCCCTTAAATTCACAGTTTGATCAAATTCACAGCATGAGAAATAATTTTATAAAACACGTGGAATTCACAAGATTTTTCTGATAAGGAAAAGGCTCGCAAGGCACCGAAAAAATCTAATTTTGTTCATACATGCAATCTGTTGAGTCGATGTATCAAGTAGAAATGTAGTTTAAGAGATTTAAGCATTGAATCCATAGGTAAAATGTCTTTTTTCTCTGTGTTTTTCAAAGAAAGTGTAGATGTAGATAAGAAATGATTGAAATCTTAATCAGAAAACCATACTTGGTTGGGTTTTCGGTGAAGTGGTGGGGCGGTTTGAGAGTGGTGGTGGTGCTGGACGGTGCATGGTGGTGACTGTGATTTTGACTTTGGTGTTGGGGGTGGGTTGGGAGTAGGGTGAGGAGTTTGGCGTAGAAGAAGATGATTTTTATTTATTTTAGTTTTTTAGTTTTTAATGTGATCGAAAGGTCTGGGGCTTTTAATGCAATTATCTCTAAAAAATTTAGGCATAATTTGCAAAAAATAAAAGTTTCGGTACTGCAACTACAATTATTATTATTATTATTATTATTATTATTATTATTATGACATTTTTACTGTTTTAACGGTAAATCTGACGAATTTTAACAGTATGGGATATTTTGCACAAAAAGGTTCAAATATAGAGATTTTTTGCTATTTTCAATAAATATGAAGTATATCGTAAACATAAACGTTTTCAGAAGGATTTTATGCTATTAATCATTTTATATTGAGTAATGTTATTCATCCCTAATAGAGTAATGTTATTCATTTCCAGTGGGGATGAAAACACGATTTAGGTGGCTTTAAATGATATGTGAAATTAAATGACTTATTTAATTTCACCTATCATTAGTCATTTAATTTCACATATCATTTAATGACACATTAACGCCACGTAAACTGTGTTTTTATTCCCAGTGTGGATGAATAGCATTACTGTTTTACATATGATAACAACTCACTGGCCTAAAAAGAGTGATGTGATGGCACGTGATATGTTTGTGGAAAGCTATGAATTGCACAACGTGGTCCATTCCTCACTAAATCATTATGGATACAAGAAAATGTTTTCCAATGAATTATAAATATATTTGAAATATACGGTGTAAGTACAATTATTGAGCAAGCCCTGATTTTTATTTATTATTTTTCAAATGTGAATTCAAATGCATTTGATGATACACATGATGTGAAACAATATGGCCGTCTTTAGTATCGAATTTGGCACCAAAATCGAACCAAATCCTGCGTGATCATAAACGTTACTGTTATCCCATTTTTGTAGTGCTTTGCTATTTCTATTTGTTTTTCCATTTATGAAATAAAACAAAAAAACCTAAATTTCATTTTTCGAGTTCATGATCCGATAGTTTCAATCATGGAATGTATGGCTTTCATGAAGCATGAGAAATTCAATCAACACACTTCTGGTGGTGACAAAGAGTCGATTGGTTGCTGTTTATATTGTATTTTGATTTAAATTATTGAAACATTAAACATATAATGTTAAAATTCATAAGGTATCGTCTAACCTTTTTTTGCTGTTTTTGTACAAAAGGGAGACAAATCAACATGGGAAAAAGTTTGAAATGCATAACGGTCATTGAACAGTTGACCCTTTCGATTCTTGAGAATCCTCTTTCCATTGCTGCTTTTAAGGAATAAATGACCAGTAGTGACCATTCATTTGTCATTCAAGTTTTTACAGTTTGATATTTCGACGAGGATTTAGATAAAATATGTACAAATAACTTATACATGGGAAGGTGAACCTATTAATATGTTTGAGAATATTGCTACTCAAACAAGGTTTACAAACAGGGAAGGTGACGGTGCGTTGGCAGGATCTATTTGGATTTTTTTTTTTAAACTATTTAATGATGTTGTGTCACGTGTCCCCTTGTCGTTGAGCCTATTTGTGTAATATGATTCTATGTTTGATAAATGATTGCAACATTTAAGATTTGTTTCGATAAAATTTATAAATGATTTATGAATGATTAAATTCATTTTCAAACACAAATTTTAATGGATCCACAAGTTTATCATATCACAAAACACTCGCGGGGGGGGGGGGGGGGGGGGGGGGGGGGGGGGGGGNAAGATCTCCTCCAGTTTGCTAGTGAACGTACGTGTGGGAGAGATCCCCCTGGCTTCGCAGCGGTGGTTGTGGTGGTGTGGAAGTGGCAAGGTTATGACGGTGGTGGGGTGGGGTGAAGTGAGGTGAATAAGGGGGTGGGGTGTAGATTTGCCAATATTTTACAATACATAATTACTTAACGAGGTATGAATCTAATTATACATAGAAATGATCAACTAAGTATCAGTGTTCGTATTATGTTAAGCACCGATAACGCGTTACATAAATCCATTTGTGAATAAATTTATGATGGACCTCAACATTTGAATTAAGATTATGGTGAACTTCAACATTTGAATTAAATTTAAAATTTACTAATAGATTTATATGATATATTATCGGTATTTAGAATAAGATAAGCATGTGTGCTCATTAGATTATTCATGTATATATGTATGTGTGTGTGTAACTTTCAAAATATACTATTGAATTACATCGTTATCACATTTCACTCGTTTTGAGTCTTTTAAATTTTTATACACGAAGCAATTGACAAGGAGAGTGTTATTTCTAATTCTTGCCTTGAATGTAAAAGGATTGAGTTGGACAAAGGCAACAATCATATTTATATGAAGGTCACATCGTACTTCTGCCGTAAATTTATATTTCCTATATCAATGAATGCTATTTTTTTATTGTTTAATTAAGAAATTCTCTAATTCATGTAAAAACATGTTACAATTGGAGTTTAAAAAACACGGCTGGTCTTCGAATTTTGATGAAATTTCACGTTGACTATTGAATTATTTTATGAGGAAATTTCACAAAATGTCCACTTTTTTGTATCCATTTGCAAAAATGTCCACCATTGCAAAAATGTTCATTTTGAAAGAATTTAGACCAAAATACCCTTGTTAACAATTTATAATTCCACATAAACACAAAAATGTCCACTTTATTAAAAATTTTATTGGCCAATAAAATTTTGACACATAACCCTAACATATTCATTTCAAAAGTACAATTGTCAAGTCGCAATAAATGCAATTTTTCTCATTGACACAGAAATGTCGAGAACGACATTTCAAATGTAGAGAAATGTCATGTTTAGAATGCAATATCATTCTAGACATTTAATATGTCGAGAACAATATTTGAAATGTCGAGAACATTTAATATTGTGATTTGACATGTGTACTTTTGAAATAAAAATAGGGTTAAAATGTCGAGAACTACATTTGAAATGTTGAGAATATCATTTGAATGTAACTTCTCATGAAAGCTACTTCCCGAAATTTGTGAAAAATTGAAAAAAAATAAATTGCTTCATTTTTCCATTAAGGGCATAATGGGCAATTTGATACAAAATTCAAAATGGTAGACATTTTTCAATTGACATCCAAAAAGGTGGACATTTTTTAAAATGTCCCTTATTTTATTTCATGTAATCACTCAAAACTCCTCCTACACGAGTTCTAGTCATTTACTGTTGTCAGTTTCTCGGCTTCACTTGCTCGATTTGAGCTTCTAGTTGGTTTCATTCATCCCCAACCCTAATAAATGGATTATGAAGGGTCAGTCCAGCGTTTCGAGTTTTCGGTCAGTTCCCATTCGCCTACCCCCTCACAATCCATTACTAGGTAGTGTGGTAAATTTGAAGGGCACCTACCTCTTCTTTGGACATGTTCTTGATAACGAATTGGGAATAAAAACTACTCTTTTTATTTCGGAATTTGAGCACGTTAAGGACAGCGGGACCAGCGATATAAATAATCGGACCAATCAAGCCAATTAACAACGATTGAACAAAATCCTCCCGTTAAGACCTTATACATAGAATATTCCCAATTCATGAACGGTTCCATGGAAAGTAGGGTATAAGACAACGAGAAACGACATCCTTAATCTCTCCAAACTGCCACCCATTTATCAGAGACGATATATACATACACAAAAATGTGTAGATAGAGGGACGAGAGAGAAAGAGCTTCCTTGTAATCAACCTTCCGTCCTTCAATTTCCTTTTGATTTATTACTTCAAATTTTGTAGAAGTTTTTGCTAATTTCAAGAATTATTTTTTCTGGGTCATAAATATTTTGGGGGCTCTGGAAATTCGGAGGGGCTATTTGTCTCCCTCCTCTCTTTTCTCTAGAGGTCCAGAATTTTAAATTGGGGGTTCTTCGTTTTTGGGTATTTTTTATATTTATTTAATTTACATCTTTTTTGGTTTGATCTTGAAACCAAGAGAGTGATATATATACATATACCTACCATATATATGTATGTATGTGTAGGGTATTTAGAGATTTTGGGAGAAATTATATAATATGGTGGCAGAAGGGGGATCTCGTTATTGTTCCAAGAAGACTGATGATATATGTGGCGATGAGGTAATTTTTTTCCTTTTCATTTTCTTTAAATATTGTAATTGAAAATTATTATATTATTGCTAATTTTTATTTTCTGTTTGATAGCGTTGTTGGGAAATTTCTGTCAATATTTCTGGATTTTGTGATTTAATTTGTTAGCGAGGAAAAATATATCTAAAAGTTGAGATTAAAAATTTCTGGAAAAAATTGAAGCTTTCTCAATATATTGGAAGAGTTCAATATCTTACACTTTATTCCTTGGGTTTAGGGGCAATTAGTATGTCATAAGATTCAAGATCCTGTACAGAATAATATTATACACGAATCTAAAACTTTTCATTACTTTTCTACTACACATTCTCCCATCAATCATTATTCCAAAAATTTTCAACACCCCAAAATGGTGGCCAAACATGGGCTTAAGAATTTTCTCATAGTTTATTCTTTGACCAGGGTGCATTGAACCCTAGAATTGGAACGATAAGGTTCTTATGTTAAGTTAATACTCTAGGCTTTAAGGAAGCATGGCTTGTAAAAATAGAGTTCCGCTGTGAGTCGCTCCTATATATCGTTTCTAAGACTCGGGGTACTCTTAGGACAATTTTGGTAGACAGTATTGGACGGGATTGGATAGTTCAATGGATTAACATTTTTATTTCTTCATTAATACTATCTATAGATTGTTTAGCTCGTATTACCAAACTTCCTATTAATTGACGTAGTGGAGAATCTTCTGCATTCGAAAGCTCTACTGTTGTTAGGTTTGTTAAACGACAAGTATGCATGCTTAATTCAGTTCCTAAATGATCTTTCAAAAAAATTCAGTTCCTAAATGACATGCTTTTCGTAATTTGCAGCACTCAATTCGAACCTTGAGCATGTCGAGATTAAAGTGTATTATACGTGGGCTGGATATAAAAGCCAGTCTCTTCCTTCTCATGTTGGTCCCGACATGCTTCTTTTTTATATACATGCATGGACAGAAGATCACATACTTCTTGAGGCCTTTATGGGAATCACCACCAAAGCCCTTCAATGAAATTCCTCATTATCATCATGAGAATGTGTCTATGGAGAATCTTTGTAAACTCCATGGTTGGGGAATACGTGAGTATCCAAGGCGTGTTTTTGATGCAGTGTTGTTCAGTAGTGAGCTAGACCTCCTCAAGATACGATGGAAGGAATTGTACCCTTATGTTACAGAATTTGTACTGCTTGAGTCAAATTCAACTTTCACTGGACTGTCGAAACCTTTGGTCTTTGCTTCTAATCGAGAACAATTCAAATTTGTGGAGTCACGATTAACTTATGGGAAAGTTCCAGGGAGATTTAGGAAAGGAGAAAACCCATTTATTGAGGAAGCTTATCAAAGACTTGCATTGGATTATCTTCTTAAACAAGCTGGTATTCAGGATGATGATTTATTGATAATGTCCGATGTTGATGAGATACCGAGTAGACACACAATTAACCTCTTGAGATGGTGTGATGACATACCCTCAATCCTACATCTTCGGCTGAAGAACTATTTGTATTCATTTGAGTTTCTTGTTGATTATAATAGCTGGAGAGCTTCGGTTCACAGGTATCAGTCTGGCAAGACGAGGTATGCACATTATAGGCAGACGGATCACATTTTGGCTGATGCAGGGTGGCATTGCAGCTTTTGCTTCCGCCGAATTAGTGAGTTCATATTTAAGATGAAAGCATACAGCCATGTTGACCGTGTGAGGTTCTCTCATTTTCTGAATCCTAAAAGAGTCCAGAGAGTAATCTGCACAGGGGCTGATTTATTTGACATGCTGCCAGAAGAGTACAGTTTTAAGGAAATCATTGGAAAAATGGGACCTATTCCTCACTCTTATTCAGCAGTTCATCTCCCTGCATATCTTTTGGAGAACGCTGATAAATATAAATTTCTTTTGCCGGGAAATTGCTTAAGAGAACGTGACTGAATTAAATGGACCATGTTTGTGTCTTTTTGTAAAGGTTGAACTTTAGCTTTGGCTCCTGGCACTGGGTTTCATTGTCCAATTGATGACCGTGCTTGTATCCTTTTTACAACTGTTTGGTAAAATTGGACGCGTTCTTGGATTTCTAGAGCGAGTTATGTATATAACTTTTCGTAGAGTTGTTTTCTGTGCGGGATTTGGATAGTATTCATTTATGAGGCGGGAGTTTGCATTTTTCTGGGCTTTTCCACATTAGGAAGCTTGCAATGTGGGACTAATTTGATCAAATATCATTGCAAAATGTGTTGTTTACTTTCTAATTTCAACTCTATGAGGTTCTTGTTGATCACAATGCCTAAGCCTAGAAAAATTTCTGTTTCGATTTTGTCGAAGGTTTATGTTCTTGCTCTGCTTTTCTTTTCACTTGCCCTTGGTCGAGCCAATGAATGTAATCTCGAGTTCTCATATATCTGACTACCTCCCCCTATTATTTATTATCTTGAGTTGCATAATGTTAAGAATGATGCTATACTTACGGGAAATGGTTGACAGAATCACAAACTGCCAATCACAGAGACAAATTCTGTGAACCATTACCCTGTACACTAAGCAAATGTTAAAAAAGTCGTATGATTAGGGTATCTGATACTCTTAATTATTTATGTGACATTGTTAATGTTTCATGGTTGGCGTGTCTGGATATTCTTGAGAACATTAGTCATTTGACTCACATTGATGTGTCAGCTCATTACATCGTATGACAATGGCTGTCTGGTGCAAGTAATATTTAAGAAGTGTAACTGTAATGAAATTTCAATTTCATGTATTAACAGTAAAAGGACATTTGTACATTATGCAACTGAAAATTTAATTGTAATTGTGGGTCCATTGGTAGCTTGATCTTTAATTTCATTTTTTTCTAGTCCGTGTGAATGAAAATGTATATAGCCCTTTCGACCAAGCTTTTGTTTCTTGTAGAAAAGCTTCCGAGAAAGCTACATACGCATGTCATAAAATTTATCTGAGTTTTAGACCATAAATGCACTCTCTATTTATCTGGGCTATGAGTATTTTAACTTTTAATATTAATATAACTTTTTTAAATTCATGTAACATTAATATTCACTTTTAATGATCGTAAATAATATTTACAAAGAAAAGAAAATAGTAAAAAGGAGAGGAATTAAAACATTCAAGATTGAAATTATTAATATATTGACTAATGCTGTTTTGTCAAATGCTTTCAAGAATTATTATTTTTTTGGGAAGGCAAAACTTTCCTTTTAATTTATTTTAAAGTTTTGACTCCTTTATCCCTTCCCTCTTCCAAATCCGTAACGGCTCAATTCAAACTGTAATCTTTGACCCATTACAAACCGCAACTACCAAGCAATCTGCACCCCATCCCCACAAAATTTCTAGCCGTTAAAGTAGTGATCTAGGACCTAAAGAACGAGAAAGCTAGTCCAGTGGAGTTCTATTATCAAGAATTTCAAATTCAAGATTCACGAAATTGTCACCATCAGTATGAAATCTTTCACCTCTCTATCCGACGGAGGAAATGGAAATCCTCCGCCGCCTGGGGTGGTGGGTCTGAATTTACTGCCGCCGCCAGAGGTGGTGGATCTCAGTGTAAATGGATCTTCATCTTTTTGTTCTTTGAAAAGAAAGAGACCTGCTAAGATTGAGATCCCAAGTGTTCTCCAAGAAATTAGTACAGAAGTTTTCAAAAGCTCTGAAATTCAGGTTCAATTTAAAAATACTGTGTGCTTCAGTGATTCTGGTGTCGGTGTTTTCTCACTCAAAGGCAAGAAAAAGTTCATGGAAGATGCCCACAAGATTTTTTCTACCTCAAATAAGAAAAAGGTAATAATTAAATCCATTTTGCAATTTTTTGTTTTATATAACTAATACATCTTTTTGGGATGTTAAATGATTTATTTTGATTGTGTAGAGGTTTTTTGGGGTTTATGATGGGCACGGTGGGACGAAAGCAGCAGAGTTTGTGACAGATAATTTGCATTTAAAGATTCTTGAGATGCTGGAGAATTTGCCTGAAGATAAAGCAAAAGAAGAAGCCATAAAGGAAGGGTATTTGAAAACAGATGAAGAATTCTTGAAACAGGTCATTCATAAAGGAACTTTTGAGTTTATATGCTATTTCTATTGATCAATTAAGCTGAAAAACGTGAACTTGAATCCTAAGAAAATTTATATATTTTTGAACATTCTGGGATTTAGTAAGTTTTCTATATGTTTGGTGTTGAAGATCATCGTCTTAGTTGTATAAATCGGTTGATGATATCAATGTGGCTTGGTTGTCTCATATTCATGGAAGCAATATTATCTCTCTCATCAAGTTCAGATGAGGAGACCCATTCAATTTAGTGACTTGTCATGACAATTTACAAATTATAAAGGTTGCTAATTTCTATACACGGATATATTTCTTGTCTTGGAAAAGAATAGACCTTTTCAAAACTAATGCACATTATTTATTAGACGTGTTTAGTTTTTACAAGACTAGCAGATAAATTGAGAAGAATATTAAGTTGTAATACTCAGTCTGAATCTTTTGATATGTCATTTGTGCATCTCTTTTTTCCTCTTGTAAAGCTTGGATATTTAGTCATAAAGATGGTTCCGGTAAGAGATTTTAATAACTACTCACGGGTACTCAACAAATTCGATGCATGATTGTGCCCTAAATATTTGCTAGATAAATAGAACAGGAAATGAATGAGTGACCTGTCTTTGAGGTCTGAGGACAGAAGGTTTAATTGTGGCCAATTTTAGGTTTCATCCGTGTATTTTGGAAAGCTAAATTACACTCTCTGGGACCAAAAAGGAACAAAATTCTTGAACTGCATAGAATTGGTTTTCAACTTCATTCAGCAGGTTATTCGAATCATGCCAAATTCTAAGCATGGAACTAAATGGAACTAAATTTAGTTCACAGATATTGTGTTCATGTTTACTCTCAATCTATAATATTTTCACTTTGTTTAGTTGCAATCTTTTTTGCTTTTTGATTACAACGAAGAATTACTGACTGATATAGCTGGGAGTTTTAGGGGTTAGGTAGTGGTGCTTGTTGTGTTACTGCCGTGATTGAAGGACAGGAGATGGTAGTTTCGAACTTGGGAGATTGCAAAGCAGTTCTATCTAAAGGTGGAATAGCTGAAGCCCTCACAAAAGATCATAGAGCAGGACAAGAAAACGAGCAGAAAAGAATCGAGGACAAGGTACTTCTAAAGCTTATCTTGAAACCCTTCAAGTAGATAAGACTTTAGTGCTTTTTATCCCTTTAAGTAACCTAGTACTTTATAATCCACCCCACCGAACAAGCAATTGAGCATTTCATTATGCAGGGAGGATATGTGGAGCTTCATCGGGGAACTTGGAGAGTTCATGGAATACTATCTGTTTCAAGAAGCATTGGAGATGCTCATCTGAAAGATTGGGTATTGGCCGAGCCTGATACTAAGGTTATATCTTTGACTCCAGAGATGGAATATCTCGTCTTAGCATCTGATGGACTCTGGGATGAGGTAACAATTGATTGACTTGAAACAACAACTTATATTCAGACTAGGTGAAGTTTGAACTGAAATCACTTTCTATAGCAGGCATTTTATATATCTCCATTAAGTTGCATCTTTACTTTTGCACGTCTCTGCAGAGGTAGTTTAAAAATCTATGTACACGAGACATGTTTATTACAGAGAATTAGGTAACACTAGACAGTATTCAATCATGTTTGATATTGTATACCAAATATGCGGGGTGGTGTTGTGGGGCGGGCAGTGGCGAGCCACAAGGGGTGGAGGGTCGCAACTGCTCACTCAACATTTTGAAATTTCTTTAAATCTAGGTAGAAATGTAATTTTTTTTTTTTTTTAACATTTACCAGATACATCTGATTGCCCCATTCAACATTTTTTCGCCACCAATTGTAAAAATTCTGGGTCCACCACTTAGGGCAGGGGAGTAGGGGATGACTCAGTTATCTGGTCTATCAGATTTTATATTATGTAATAGATATTTTTTTTCCTTTGAACTTCAAATTGCTAACTGAATGTTACTCAATTGATTTGAAACTGATAGGTTGGAAATCAAGAAGCAATTGACATTGTGACACGCTCATGTTCTATTGAAAAGAAACAGCAATCAATGGGAGCTTCTCTGAAACATAATAGCAATGTATATGACTGTTTAATTACCAGCCCTTTGTCAAAATCACCTAGAGTTTCGCTGGTTAAGTCGAAGAGGAGACAACAGCCTACAAGCCAGAAAAAGACTAAGGCTCACAGGAAACAAAGTGAAGATGGATTCAGTTGCGAAAATGAAAGTCCTCCATCTAAGGCTCGTCGAATTTCCATGGTGAACCAAATCAAGATAAGAAGTCCATTTTCGAAGAATGAAAATAATGGCATTACTGAGAAACTGGATTCTTCTGGTGGACTTTTGGCTGCTTGCAAGGAGCTTGCGGGACTTGCTGTAACTAGGGGTAGTATGGATGATGTTACAGTGATGATAATTGATTTGAATCATTATAGAAGTCAACCTAGTGGTAGAAGTTGTTGACTTTTTTCGACTTAAATGTTTAGCAATATCTCTAGTTTAGTAGTGATCAAAGTATTCATCGTCTACCTTTACTCAACAAATTCAAAGGTTGTAACATAACATTGATTTCTTAATACTAGTTGAGGTTGATATCTGAATATATACATGTCAAAAACTGTCACAATCACACGGTAAGCTCCAAGTACAACCAAGAACACTCCTTTCACTTTCTGTTCGATGTGGAACAAAGCATAAGGACTAAGGAGGAGAACCCAACAAGTGTAGGTTTTTTCCCTTCTTTCATTTCATCCTATTTGATTGGAATCAAAAAATACGAAGCACAAGTTGTTTTTGACAGTTAGATATAATTTCAACCACATTCTCCAGATGTTTCACACATTGTTCAAGCAATTGATACGAATGCAAATTATTCGTATGGAAATATTGAACTAAATTATTATTATAGTAGGCTTGATCGACGGAGCATTGACCTTCAAAATTTCAAACCTACCAAAGTAAAAAATGCCAAATAATTTCTTCACCGCATTTCATTTATTTTTCTCTCTTCAAGTAGAGATACAAAATATCTGAAATTGACTGCTGATTTCTAGATGATAGTCTCTAAGAGGACATTTTATTTTTGATTTTAGTTGGTGTTTTGTTTATAATTGTGAGAGGTTTCTTTATTTATTATTTAGTTAAACAGGTCGAGTTAGTTATAAGACTATGATATGTATGAGTGAGTTGTCTCTATTTCTTAGGATTTCGTGGATGATGAACGTTGTGTTATATCTTTAAAGAATGTTAAAGAGATTAAACAATATGGAATGAATTATTTTGCAAGTTCATAGTTTTTATTTGAGATTTCATTGGTTCCTTGTAAACTCCTCGAATTAACTCAATCTTCTTCTCTTTTTGTTTTATCTTGAGGATTTCAATATCCACAATTCATATCCACAACAACAAACGGTCGACGTCTATTTTTCCCCTTTTTTATGTTTTATACTGTAACTTTTTTCTCACTTCTTTTCTACTCTTTTTCCTTTCACGAATTTTTCATTTTCGTTTTTTACATTTTTAATTAAGAATAATACATTGACAATTTTACCCTTTTTAATTTTTTAATATGGTAGTCACATGAGTTGAACAATATAAAAATAGATAGGGGTGACCAAAAGTCCCGAATCGAACCGAACTGAATCGAGCGGTTCTTCATAAATTAAATACCCGAACGAGTACCCGAATCGAGAACCGATGGGTTTGGGTCGGGTCTCGGGTCTAGACCAAGAACCGAAACTAAATAATTTTTTTATTTTTTATATTGAATTAATTAAATTATTTTATTTTNAAATAAATTTTTTATTTTTTATATTAAATTAATTAAATTATTTTATTTTTTTCTAAATTAATTAAATAAATCAAATTATTTCATAATTTTAATTTTAAAGCCCAAATCATTTTTAAAACTCATTAGCCAATTTTAATTTGAAACAAATGAATATACTTTATGTAGTGTTACTGTAATATTAATATCTACTTTTTGATATTTGTATGCATTTAATTAATCTTATGGACGGCTAGTTATTTATATGTTTTTGAATTGTGCTACATTAATTTGTAAAAGTTGCGAATGAAATATCATTAGTTGTATTTATATAGTGTTACTGTAAATATTAAAAAAATTAATTATGGTACGGAACCGAACCCGAACAGTTCCATAATTATATTTGGACCCGACGGATCCATTTATTAAATACCCGAAAGTTTTAGGTCGGTTTGGATCTCTTCATAACCGAACCGACCCACGGACAGCTCTAAAAATAGATGAAGCCCACCTTCAGTCTCATTCCTTAAAATCCTTTTTATTTTTTTCCCCTTTCAAACTCATTTCAACTACACATTTTTTTTAATAAAATAATTATAAATATAATTCAATAAATTTTACTACTTTTTAATTATACATTTTTCAAGAAATTACTATTATAAAATCTATTGTCCAAAAAAATGGGTTTCAAACAAACCCGAAATAATCTATTTGGATGAATGTCATCAATTTTTCAAAGGTTGGTGACACAATTGTCCAAAGAAAAGGTTGGGGATGCATTGGCAAATTACCAGAAAGGTTGGGGACCTATGCTTCTATTTACTGTATTGCAAAATTACCAGATTTGTTGTAATTACAAGTGAAGGTATTATCATCGCTGCATCCATCCTTCTCCGGTGAAATCGCTATTGTCATCTACAAACCCGCACCTGGTATTACTTCTCGGATCTTTGCTCCTGTATTTTTAGGGATTTCACACGATTTCTCTTTAGTGTAGAAATTTTCGGATTTTACAGGGGGTAGTTTGAAGATTTTCCGTAGAGAAGTGGATACTTACTGAATTATACTTCTAATTGCATAAAAAACATTTTTGAATTTTTTTACAAGAGTAGTACTATGTGATGAATAATCTAAAAAGCTTAATTTTTTTTTCTTTGAATTTTGATTCGACAAACCCTTTCTATACAGAGAAGAATTGATGGCTTATATTATGTGCTTCTCATTTGTATTAGAGATTAGTGGTAGTGTATGTTAGGATTCAGAACAAACTTACAAGAACTCAAAGTGTTTAAAGGCTCCTAACAACATGATATAAATTGCAAAGAAAAGGCTGGCTTTATACAAGCCTTTTACAGGGAAATCAAAACAGAAGAAGGTCCACGTTCATCACATCTGAGAACATGGGAAGTGACCTAAGACCAATTCAAAACAAACAGATTACCCTAACAATCAGGGCATTATTAACAGAATGTGTAAATGACAAAGCAACAAACAAGGATAATTCCTAATGATTTTATCTTTTAAAGACTCTAATACTCCAACATTCTCCCTTAAACTGAACTGCACAAGTGCATTCAGTTTACTCCAGACATCAAACACATGCCAAGTTTAACTCGCAGCTTCAAGAACACCTCTAGTTTGAGGGGTTTAGTCATGATATCAGAAACTTGCTCTTGTGTACTGCAATGCATCAATTCTACTATCCCATCTCTTGTAAGTTCACGTAAGAAATGGAATCTCACATCGATATGCTTACTTCGACCATGTAAAACCGGATTTCTTGAAAGTTTAATAGCAGAACTATTGTCACAATAAATAGTAGTGCACACACCTTGAACATGACCAAGCTTTTCAAGAATCCTTCTTAGCCAAACCCCTTGGCATGCACATGAGGCTGCTGCTATGAATTCTGCCTCCGTAGTAGATAAAGTTACCACTGGCTGCTTTCTTGAGGACCATGAAACAGCTCCTGTCCCCAACATAAATACATATCCCGAGTACTTTTTCGATCATCAACATCCCTCGCGTAGTCGCTATCTGCAAATGCTATTAAATTCCCTTCACCATTTTTCTTGTAACCAATTCCAAACTCCACAGTGCCCTTCAGATACCTTAGTATCCTCTTGGCAGCTTGCAAGTGCATCTCAGTTGGTTTCTCCATGTATCTACTGATCAAACAAACTGCATATATGAGATCAGGTCTTGTGGCCGTCAAATACAGCAAGCTCCCAACCAATTGCTTGTATTCTGTAGCATCTACTTCTGCTCCGCTTCCATTCTTTGACAACTTACATCCTGGAACGATTGGATTATTCACAGGATTACTTCTTTCCATGCCAAATCTTTCAAGCACCTGTTTAGCATACTTTCGTTGACAAATGAAAATTCCATCAGAGTTTTGCACCACCTCTACACCCAAAAAATACTTCATTCTACCAAGATCAACATATCAAACTCCTTTTTCATTGATTCTTTGAAACTCTTGAACATGTCTTCATCATTTCCGGTAAAGATAAGATCGTCCACATAGAGACTCACAATCAATAGCTTGCCTTTGTCACCAGACTTAATAAACAGTTTGTGCTCACAGAAGCACTTTTCGAACCCCTCTTTGATGAAATACGCCTCAATTCTGCTGTACCAGGCTCGTGGAGCCTGCTTGAGCCCATATAGTGCCTTCTTCAGCCTATAAACCTTCTGCTCTCCACCTTGCTTCTCGTAACCTTGAGGTTGATCAATGAACACTGCCTCATTTAAGTCTCCATGTAAGAATGCACTTTTTACATCCAACTGAAATACACACCAACCTTTGTGCGCCGCAAGAGCTAGAATTGTTCTGATCGTATCCCACCTAGCCACCGGTGCAAACACTTCATTATAATCAATCCCCTGCCTTTGAGAGTACCCCTTTGCCACAAGTCGGGCCTTATGCCTGTCCACATCCCCCTTCTCATTAAGCTTCGTTTTAAACACCCACTTCACTCCTATTCTTTTAGCTCCAGCTGGCAAGGTAGTCAACTGCCATGTATCATTCCTTTCAATAGCTTTTATCTCCATATCCATTGCCTCCCGCCATTTCGAACTCTTGTATGCTTCTTCAAATGTGACTAGATCTTCAGCTGAAGTAAACATCACCAAATTATGCATCTCCTCTTCATCAGACAAACCCTCACCGGTCACATAATCCCTCATCCAAGGTGGCTGCCTCCTATTTTTCCCTTGATTTGGACTCGGTGGTGCTTCCTCAGACAACTCATTTGTTGATGAGTTATCCGTTTCTTGATCAGCTTGCTCATCTTCCGAACCTTCTCCTACCTCATTAGCATCAGCATCTTCATTGTCTTTTTCATTTTCATCTCCCACACCAACACATCATGTTTCACTTCTTCTGCACTTCTACCCCAATTCCACTTCTCATCCTCAGCACACACTATATCTCTGCTAATCACTATCTTCCTTGATATTGGGTCATAAAGCCTATAGGCTTTTGATTCCTCACTCACACCCAAGAGAACACATTGGAAACTCTTATTGTCAAGCTTTGTTCTTTGACTATTGGGCACGTGAACATGAGCCACACACCCAAATACACGAAAATGATCAACATAAGGCTTTATGCCACTCTAAGCCTCTTCAGGAGTAACATCTTTGACAGCTAGAGTAGGACTCCGATTCAGCACATAAATGGACCAGTTAACTGCTTCCGGCCAAAACTCTTTTGGTACTTCTTTTCCTGATAGCATGCTACGCACCATATTCATTATGGTACGATTCTTCCTCTCGGCAACTCCGTTTTGCTGCGGGGTATAAGCCGTGGTAAGCTGCCTGCTAATCCCATTCGTGTTACAGAATTTGTTAAACTCGAGTGAGGTGAACTCCCCACCTCTATCAGTTCTTAAACAACAAATAACATCACCAATCTCCTTTTCCACTAGCAACTTATATTTTTTGAACATAGCTAATGCTTCAGATTTTTCAGATAAAAAATATGCCCAAGTCTTTCTACTGTAATCATCGATGAATGTGATTACATACCTTTTGCCACTATTCGATTCCGGTGTGATAGGCCCGCAAATATCTGCATGGACCAGTTGTAGCTTCTTAGATGCCCTCCACAAGCTTTTCTTTGGTATTGCTTCTCGGTGTTGCTTCCCAACCATACAATCACTACACACTTTCGATGGAACATTGATCATTGGCAAACCTCTGACCATCTTCTTATAGAGCAAAGTCCTTAACCCCTTAAAATTAAGATATCCATACCGGTAGTGCCACAAATGTGTTCTGTCCTCAGATGCGGCTTGAAAACAGGTTGAAGTGGGAGAAATCACAGAAGCAAGCACAACAAACATTCTGTTGGTTGACATCTGTGTTTGTATAATTAAACCCCTTGTTGGATGGTAAATCTTACACATTCCATGCTGGATGAGAATAGCTAGATTCTTCTCTTGAAGTTGACCGATGCTTAAAAGATTGTTTATTAACTCAGGTACAAAATAAACCTCTGTGATTACCTGAGTTAATTCGTTGATATGGAGCTTGACATTTCCTCGTCCCATAACCATCATCCTCGAGTTATCTCCAAGCTTCACCGATTGTCTGAAGTTTTCATCAAGATCAAAGAACCACTCCTTGTTACCACACATGTGATTACTGCATCCGGAGTCGAGGAACCATACATTCTCTCTCTTTGAGTGATTCATTTCCACGTACGACATCAGAAGCATCTCTTCGTCCTCATTTAATTCTGCGTAATTCACACTTTTCTCCCAACTGGGGCATTCATATTGAAAATGCTCTAGCTTGTGACATTTGTAACACTAGACCAAGGCCTTGTTGAAAGATTGCCTTCCCCTGCCTCTACCTCTACCTCTACCTCTACCTCCTCCTCTGAAACTTCCACGAGCTCTTCCTCTCCCTTCAACTCTGTACTCACATCTTCCTCCAACCTTCTCTGAATTGGTGATTTTCAAAGCATGCTCTTCCTCCTTGTGTCCTTGCATCCTCTGTTCGTGGACTAACAGACTACTCTGAAGCTCATCTATGGTCATGGTGGAGAGGTCATTGGACTCTTCTATCGAACATACTACATAATTAAACTTGAGAGTCATCGATCTCAAAAATTTCTCAATGATCACACTCTGTTCCATCCGTTCTCCATGTGCTTTCATCTTATTTGCAATGGTCAGTGTCCTGGCAAAATACTCATCGACTTTTTCACCCTCCTTCATGCCAAGAACTTCAAACTCTCTTCTCAAAGCCTGTAGCTGAGCACGTTTCACCTTGGTAGAGCCTTGATACTTCAGTTTCATCGAATCCCAGATGGCCTTTGCAGTCTCCTTATTGAGAATGGTCTCAATAATAGTTCTATCAATAGCTTGAAATAGATAGTTCTTGACCTTTAAATCTTTCAGTTTCAGATCTGCGATGGTGTTACGCTGCACTTCTGTTGGCTCTGTCCCTTCTGCTACTGCAGGTATCCCGTTCTCTATCAAGCCGCAATACTCTTTCGATCTGAGAAAATTCTCCATAAGCATAGCCCAATGGTCGTAATGACCATCGAACCGTGGAATCGCTGGTTGAATAAAGCTGCTGTTCTCTTTCTCTGTTGTCATGATTCTCTAACTCCTTTCTCCTTTTCTAATCTCTCACTCTTGCTTCTTCCTTAAGAAATTGCAGTTTCTTAGAACACTCAATCAGGCCCCTGTGATGAGGCTCTGATACCACTTGTTAGGATTCAGAACAAACTTACAAGAACTCAAAGTGTTTAAAGGCTCCTAACAACATGATATAAATTGCAAAGAAAAGACTGGCTTTATACAAGCCTTTTACAGGGAAATCAAAACAGAATAAGGTCCACGTTCATCACATCTGAGAACATGGGAAGTGATCTAAGACCAATTCAAAACAAACAGAAAGAAACTAAGTATTTTGGATAAAATCAATTGCCTAAAGAAGTTTCCATTTCAAACAGAAACCCTTGACACAAGTTGAATCGGAAAGACAAACCCACTGAACAATGAACTCGTTGGCAAAGCGAGCAGGGATCCTCTTGATCCGTCCAAGTGCAGCTCTAGGCTCGGTAAATTGGGATCTGCAGCAGTGGCGTGGCATCCGAGTGAAAGTGAGGAACAACAACCTGGAACAAGCCTTGACCCTTCTCCAGAGAAAGATGCAGTCCAGTGGGATCGAACGAATGATAAAGAATGAACAGACCCACCACATCAAGAACTCGGAGAAGCGTGTGCTGGCAAAGAAGAATTTGGAGCGTAAGATTCGAGGCCAAGACCTAGCACGGAAGCTTAAAGCCATCCTTGTAAAAAAAGTCAGGTAAATTGAAAAATTTATTAGATTTTCATTGAATTATGCTCTATGACTAGTAAATACTGGTTTTACATAATATAATGCTGAAGTATGTTGTGATATGTTTTAGCTACGAATATGATAAAGTGGTGATGAAAACTGACTATATATGTGAATGAAAGAATTGAACTTTTTACATAAAGCACGATCAAATTGGAGTTACATGTTGCGTTATTTATACTGTGGAAAACAGAGAAATCTACGAGTATTCTGTTATATGTGAAAGAAAGGAAGATCTATTGAATTACAAATGAAATTGAGATGATGGAGTTCATTGTTACTTTCGTTTTTTGACGAGGAAAGAAAGATAGGGAACGTTATTGGCATAATATTCTCTTGAATGCAAAAGAATGAATTTTTATTTAAAATACTGTGCGATCTAGATTAAGTCGAGTTTTATTTTTATGAGGAATTGAAGAATGTTATTGGCAAGAGAGACCGTGATTTAATTGGTTTGGTATCCCCAAACTCTTGTTGTATTTTGTTACATCTTTTATAAACAAAACATTAGAATCGAAACTTGGCTGATGGGTATTGGCAAGAAAATTTATATATAGATTTTGGACAAGAGAATAGGTGAATGAGATGTTTATAGTAATTAAATTCCTGGAAATTACAAGCGAGTATGATGTTTAAATTGGTAATATTAACGAGCAAATTGGAATGCTGATGTTCAAGAAATGGAAAAAATTGGGACCAATTGAAAATTTTAATATTACAAGATAAGGCTTTTTCACAGAGCAAATGAGACTCCAAATGCCAAATGAAGACGCCTGAGTTTTTACATTCTATCTGGAACTCTTGTTTCTGCATAAGCAGCTATTAGACTAACACTTGGGAGTTAAGTTAGTTTGTGAATTGAATTTTGAATTTAAGTTTCATTGCATGATGCTAGCCGGTTGAATTATGGAGAGTTCTTCTTGCTTATTGAATTGAGATGTGGGGGTATTGGAATAGTTATAATTTGGTAGGTAAAAAATTAACCGGAATTCATTAAGTGAACAAATCATATACGTTTTTTTTCTTTTGTTGGGGAGTTGAAGAGAAAAAAGGGACGGAGGAAATTCACCAAGGTGAGAAGTATTCTTGTTGAATCCTGGTGTCCTATAGCAAATGGATGATGAACAATCTCCTTCGACTAGTAACTAAAGGAGGCTACAATCATCCTAATATTCCATAGTCTTTTGCAACTATAATATCATATATAAAATTGAAGATGCATCTTTCTCTCTGTCATTGTATGCGTGTATGTTTGGGGGTGGGGGTGTTGAGATGCAAGATGTCCGTCTTTTTTTTTTTTTCCTACGTGTTTTCTTCTTTGTCTAAATAATCGTACTACTTGTTATTGATTTTTTACTCATTTTGGATTTATGTGAGGATAAATCTGACAAAACAAATTGACTGAAATATGAGACACTAATGAGAAATAAGTGTGAAGTTCAACAGTAAACAAAAGAACTAATTTCAAGAATTCTTTACATTCATTACTTTTGGCTGCTGCCGTAGATGAAACCATTCAGGCTGTGAACTATTAGAATCAATAATTGAGTGTTGAGATTCATATCATGTAGTCTTTTCTGTCCCCTATAATAGTTGCTTGAAGAGCCAGCAAGGCTGACAGTTTTATACAATGGCAGCCTCTCTTTGGAAACATAGCCCAATTTCTCTTCTTACTTTTTGAGCAGAGAAGGATCTAATGAATTTGAAAGAATTGAACGAGGAGCCGTATGAGGTGAATATCTCATGAACAAGGGGGACTTCTGTCAACTTAAGATCCTCCCGTTGACTTAATGTGTTGTACCAGGCTATGCTCCAGATCCATTTCATAATAGTGATAAGCATGTAGCTTCTCAACACATTCTCTAGCCCATGGTCTTTAGCTTTCCTTCTAGGGATGCGAAAAGTGTGCATAAGCTCTGTCATATCTGATTAAGAATGAAAAACAGGGACAGTTCTTAATGGATCACATAACCAAATTAAGACCCACGCCAGTCAAGAATGCACGCCACTATACTATTAATAAATACATAATGATATTTGAGGATTCTGTTACCTAAAGGAAGTTTTGGGTTCTGGTTCTCTAATTATTCTATCACATATCTTGGCTTATTTTGTTTATACCATACTCCTATCTGATGCGAATTTCTTAAAATCCCAGCTTATGTATCTCAACATCCTTGGTTATTTGCTTGCAGGGGTCTGTAAGAGTTAACAAGAAGGAAATGTTCTCTTCCCAAGTGGATATCAAAGGAGCTTTTATTCGTTGCTGGTGGTTTATGCAGTATGCTAACATTTTTGTAGAAGAGTATTATGTTACCACTATAGCCAAATATAATCTGTGGTTCTTAAAATGTTCAATTTTTATCTCGATAAAAAAAAACTTTTATTGCATGTCGGTATGCAATACTCCACATGAATAGAAATTCCATGAACAAAATTTCAACTTATTTTCTTTCTTAACATTACCTTGCTTTATTCATCCTTTATGTTGAAAAGACACTGTGCAAATGCCAGCACTTAAAGTACTCCATTTTACTTGCGTTGTCATTGATGCACGGAAACATATTTGCTAGTTCTTTAAGGTTTGTTTGATGCGTCCATGAGATTTCTTTAATATTGTCGTATCATCTAGTACTGTACATTTTACCGTGTCAAAAAAGCCAATAGTGTCTTATCATAAGCTTTTTTTTTTTTCCCTAAACTAAACTAATCACATGGAGATGATAACCATTTTTCATGTTTTTCGTTCTCCATGGGGATGTGGTCTAACCCCAAAAACAAGGGAAATGTTACGTCTCGCTGCTTATCTTCTTATTCAATTTACTATCCATGCACACATGACATACAACCACAAAATAAGTTTAGAGAAATTGTCATTTCTTGAAATAGTTTGATGCTCACGGAAAGAGAGTAATGATACATGGATTGGCTTCCAAGGCATTAAACCACTGCCATTGCATGTTTTTTTACCTAAACTTCTGCATCTTTTGTTCTTGAGGTGATAAACAACAGTACTTGTACTTGCATCGCGATAGATGCCCGTGTTTGAAGAATTTCTTTTAAAGCGCTATTTTCCATATGTAAAAATGACGAAAAAATTGGTAGGTGCTTGAAATCACAATAAATGAGCAAGTACTGAAATCGAAATCACACGATGAACTTTTATTTTCATGGATAAAGATTGAATCTCTTATATAAAAAAAAATAATCTAAGTTCAATAGTTATTGCCATTCGACAACTACATCAAGCCTCTATTTTTCATATTGATCGATACGCAACACCCGTAAATCATAATACCACATAGCATTATTCGTGCAAAAAAATAATAGACTCTCACTCTATTTGTAATTCCCCGAAACTCCCCATAAGGTCTAATTCAAAATCATAAATTTTCTTATTCCAAGGTTTTGCAGTTCTATAAGAATTCGAAAAGGGTTTTGCTACTTGAGAGGGTCTCGGCCAATAAAAAAAATCGAGGGATCGCTCTAGGTCCGTAGAACACCCAGCGCACACTTGGCAAAGGCCATTCGAAAAATACCAGGTTTCCATTTCAGAGACCGGAGCTGACTTCGTTTCTGCGCTGGAGTCCCCCTTACATCTCCCTCTCTCGCCTTTATCACCATTGGCGAAACCATGTATCTGTACATACACTGATAAATTCAAATGTATTTGTACAGTTGTATTGCATTGTTGTACAATAAACATCCCAACATTCGTATCGATATAAAGATTACAGCTTTCTGCTTCCGATCCAGGCATAGAGCTCAAATGCGTAGTTTTCAGTGGGGAGCTGTTTTTATCTATGTATAAACTCCTTGGCAAACAACGCCTCATATATCGCTCTCTCATCGCGAGCTATGCGAAAGCTGGCCTTATTGATAAGGCAATCCAAGTGTTTGATGAAATGTCCAATTCAGATTGCAGGGTCTTTTCCATAGATTACAACAGGTTCCTTGGAGTGTTGATAAAGAACTTGCGTTTTGAGTTAGCTGAACACTACTATAATTTAATGGTTTCGAAAGGGTTCTCTCTGAGTTCCTTTACCTACTCCAGATTCAGCTCCGGATTGTGTAAAGTTAAGAACTTTGAGCTCATTTGTAGGCTTTTTGAAGATATGGATAGGCTCAACATTTTGCCTGATATTTGGGCTTATAATATTTATTTGAATCTTTTGTGCAGCGAGAATTTAGTGGACAATGCCTTGGAATTGTTGAGAGTAATGAGAGAGAAGGGGCGAGAACCTGACATAGTGAGTTATACCATTACAATTAGTGGGTTGTGTAGAGTTAAAAGGCTTGATGAGGCTGTTGAAATGTGGAAAATAATGATTAAGAAGGGTTTTGAACCTGATAATGATGCTTGCAGGGCACTTGTTTTAGGGTTATGTGACAATGGGAACGTTGATTTGGCATATGAGCTCACTGTGGGGGATATGAAGGGGAAGGTTAAGTTTAATGTAGTAATTTATAATGTACTTATAGATGGGTTTTGTCAAGCAGGTAGGATTGACAAGGCACAAGCAATCAAGTCATTTATGAGTAGGAATGGATGTGCGCCTGATTTGGTTACTTATAATGTGTTGTTGAATTATTTTTGTAATGAGCTAATGTTGGACGAGGCAGAGAAGTTA